CTGTTCGACCTGCACTAATCAACCCCGATTCAACTCTTCGGCGAGTTCTACTTTCGTCGATGGTGGAAGTGAAATTACGATCGCATTTGCAACCGGCGTCGGTGTAACACCAGTAATTGGCTACAACACCGAGCTAACGTTGCGAAATGCTACCGATACTGTTACTGTCGGTGGCCTTGCATCGCCTGATGTACCTCTGTATTTGATCACAAACCAAACTGCTGATTTCGACATTGATCCGTTCAGTGGGATTCAAGGTATGCTTTTATACTAATAATCATTACTTGGGCTAAAGATATTCTACGATGACCAGGGATGAGTGCCCAGCCAGAAGGATTTTTCGCTGCTCTCATTGATAGTGGCCTTCCTCGTAGGTGTCTTCCGCATTGTCTTGATGAATATGCTAAATTACCTTAGCGCTGTTTTCCATGTACTTTACGCCATTGGCTGTTGGCAATGCTGAATTGACCATTGGAGGAATCGATGAGTCAAAATTCACTAGTAAGTTCCTCCTTGACTTGCACGTCTGAATGATCGCACTGAGACTATGCCTACAGGTGAACTCACATATGCATCTCAAACGGAAGATGCTGGAGACAATTGGCAGCTTTGCTCGCCTGGAATTTCGGTGAATGGGAAGACCAACTCTGTGCTAGATGTCCCCCGTACTATCGTCTTCGATAGGTAATTGCATTCGGCTCATCCCTGAATATACCAACACTTATCGCTCTACCCAGTGGAACGAGCAACGTTGTGTTTCCAACCGCTACTGCAGAGGTGCGTTGATGATTCCTGTATCCAGTATTCTCCATTAACCCTCCAACCAGGCTATCTATTCTTTCATCTCACCCCACATCACGCCCAATCCAGCGGAGAATGGGACCTACGGTATTGCCTGTGACCTCATCCCGACGCTTCCAGCTATCATCGATATCGCGTTCACTAGCCAGGATGGAACGCCATTCAACTTGACTATTCCTAGCAGCGAGCTTAGTGTCGGACCGTTCGCTGATAATACGTCCTTGTGGTGAGTGTAAACAAAATCGTAATGATCAGTTACAAGCTAAACCATTTTCCCAACTTGCATCAGTCAAACCCTTGTCAATAGCTTTGAAAATTATACCATCGTAGGGGGGAGTTTGCTTAAGCACTACTATAGTGTTTGGGATGTCGGAAACCAGCGAATGGGCTTTGCTTCCAATGGGGTTTGAGCAACTTGAATCTCGAACAGGTCGAATCACTATTACAACAGGCACTACAATTACAGCTATTAGTGAATATACATGGACACTGTAGTACGTAGTACCTTTACGATTCGTCATACCTATGGGATAGCTGTATCCAGCCGTCGTAAACGACTTTATAAATCACTCTGGAAGGGCGTCAAATTCAAGCGCCTGTCATTGTCAGCCTTCCCTCAGTTCCACATTCACCAAAAATGGCTGCCGCTACTCCTTCCAAAGGCTCTCGCTCGACTACGAGTGCCAATCGTCGCTCTTCGAGAAATTCTGCACAAGCCACCAGCCCTCACGCGTTCGAAAAAACCAGTCAAAAAACGCGCTTCTGCTGCTGCTGACGCTGAGACAGACGATGATGACGAAGAAGTCGATGGAGCGGAAGAGCCAGAGAAGATAGAGAAATCAAGAAACGGGAAAGGAAAGGGTAAAGCGCAAGGGAAAAATAACTAAATCGAAATATTACGACAGCGACGCGTTGGACGAGGATTCGGATTTTGACGCGAATGAAGACGATGAAGAGGAAGAAAAGCCTCAGAAATCCAAGCGAAAGCGGACAAGTGGTGCCGGAAAGCAAAGCAAGACTCCTTCACCGCGCAAGAGGCGTCGAAAAGCAGGCGACGAAGACGCCGATGAGGAAGAAGAAGATTTTGAGCTGAAGGAGGGACAAGAGATTGTTGGAGAGGTTGTGCAGGCTCCCAAGACTGGTCAGAGGTGAGCTTTAGGCTATTCCTTTCAATGCAACCTATTTATCGAGGCTTATCTTACGCGAAGTCCCGCCTGGCCAAATATCCAAGAACACGTTGGACTTTCTAGAACACCTTAGGTGATCCAAAATGTAACGACCGAGAATGGTGCGTTTCTCTATGCTTTCTGTCTCATGCTTAGATTGACTCTTCAACGTAGGTTCAAGCTGCATGGTGCGTCACCTATCCTATCCAGTATACAGTGTTGATGTCTCACTTTTTCGATTTTTGTTTCCTTCATAGAACCAGTCTATCGTCTCGCTGAGAAAGAATTCAAGGATTTTGTGGATGCTTTCACCGAAGTACTCACCGAAGTCGACCCGCATGTTCCTCCTCTGCCCCCCTAAAGACGTGATTCATCGTATCTATCGAGATGTGGGTTAATCCTATTTTGTCTGGTACCTTTTACTGATTAATTCCTATCATGATGTAGGTGCGCTTCAGTAACGACAAAACACCGTACAAGAGGAACATGTCTGCTAGTTTTTCGCGGAGTGGGAGGAAGGTATTTTCGCTTGTTGTGAGTATTCATGGGTATTCTTTTCGTTTGCGTTACTTATCCAAAGCGGTAGATCATGTGTGAGCGGGTTTTCCCTATCTCTCTCTCCCTCTACCTACTTACGAGTGAATCGGCTCTGTACCAGCTCAAGTAAGATGGTTGTTCCCTCCGATGAGATTTTCCATTGATGCTTTTCATTTCTAGTCAAACCAGGCGGTGAGAGCCTTCTCGCTGCAGGGACATGGTGCCCAGGTAAAAACGAACTAGCCACTATACGGTAAGTTCACTCTTCTCCAATCTCGCTTCGATGATCTCCAAGTTCCACTTGCTAACAAGTCCTGTTGTAGATCCAACATCGCCCACTCTCCAGACCAACTACGTCAAGTCATCTCTGACCCTGCCTTTGTCGCTCTCTTTGGCGAACCAAAGCCAGTAAAAGGTGGAGGGAGGAGGAACATTTTTGGTGCGGACGATGAATTGAAAGTTGCTCCTAAAGGGTTTGATAAGGATCACAAGTGAGTGCCGTGCGTATGTGTATACTGCCATGCTGATTGCGATGCGTTTGGCTGTAGGGATATTGACCTTTTGAAGTGTCGCACTTTTGCTGTTGTGCATCGGTGAGTCTACTTAGCGTGTTTCGTATGCTCCATCTAACGTAACGATGTCTGTAGATTCAAAGACTCTGAAGTCCTCGCTCCCGATTTCAAGACCAAGTTGGGTGAAGTTGCAGCTGTAGTACGGCCGTTTGTTCGTTGGCGAGTACAGTAGCATTTTCTGGTTTCACTGTTTGCTCATAAACTTTTGTGTTTTGTTATGTTATACAGTTTGAATGACCTGATGACTATACAAACCCGGGATAACGACGACGAAAACGGTGATGATGATGAGGAGACATAGGCTATGAAGAATGTGTCTGTTACATATCTAGAACGCTGCGTAGGACAGGAGGAAAATTGAATTTCGGAATGTAATTATTAGATCTACTATGATTTTGACTACAAGCGACTGTATAGAATGGGTGAGCGGGACGTCAAGGATCATCGTCACTGATCATGAATCGTCACCCATGTGAGTCGTGACGCTTCTGTCCCGTTCTTCCACTTTCCACTTGGTTGATCAATCTACGCATGAATCTACCAAAGGACATAATCCTTCGATCTTCCTGAGGACAAAGAAATAGTATACCTCGAATACGAACCCTCTCAGCTTGCGCTTCCTAGCCCCGAATACACACGTTTTGTCTGCATCAGCGATACCCATACGCGGAACTTTCCTGTGCCAGACGGAGATGTGCTGCTTCATAGTGGAGACCTAACGGATTCAGGGACTTTGGAGGAATTTGAGAAGACAATGGATTGGATCTGTCAATTGCCGCATAAGATAAAGATGTGCGTAACTGGCGTTTAGGTTGTGGATCGTTATTGATCATTCTAGTCAGAATAATTGCAGGAAATCACGATCTTCCACTACATGCCGACTGGTATGAGCTGAACCATTTACGATGGTCTCGATCGGGGCACGAAACTCCGCAGGTGCCCAAGCTTAAATAACTGTTCTGCGTTCATCGAGCTCAATCGCCGAACAGGATCACAGTCGTATTCTCGATGTGCTAAAAGGCAAGAAAGCGCAAGATGCCAACGTTGTTTATCTTCAGGATGAATTTCATTCCTTTCAAGTGAAAGAAGGCGGAAGGACATGGTCTGTCTATGGGTCTCCAGTGCGTTTACATTTCTCGAAGATCGACCAAGTCCAAACTCTAGATGTCTGTATAGTGGTCACCAGAATTCTGCAATTGGGCATTTAATTATACGGCTGCAGAGGGACCGCGTGAGTCGTTCATATTCTATGACCATATTTGCTCTGCTCGTCTTGACTATGAACTCGTTCTATAGCACTGATATCAAGATTTCTGATATCCGATATACTGTTCGTATCGCTTCAGCGCTCCTCCGTTCTGCGAGTTTCACTTACTGTTACCGTCTCTATCCAGGCTGACACACGGCCCACCCCGTAACATCTTTGACCGCACAACCAGACGCGACTTTCCTGGCTGTCGCGCTCTATCCGACGCTCTTCCTCGTCTTCGGCCTCGTCTCCATGTCTTTGGACACATCCATGAGGCTCATGGTGCTCATGTGCATTCATGGTCTAAGGGACATGTTGGAAGTGTACAGAATTCCAAATCTTCTGAACCGGAACCGGAACCTGAAGAGAAGGAAGATATCAGTGATCCTGACGATGATGATGTTACGGTATTCGTCAACGCCGCCAACTGGCCTATGGGTCCAAGGAGGCTTGAATACCAGACTAACTGGGAGGTTCGGTGGGCCAGGTTTTAGGCCGGTTGTCGTTGATATGCTTGATTGATTGAATTGTAGAATTGTAAGTTGGCAATAAGCCTTTGGACTGTATGGTATGGTAATTGTTTGAATAATGTGTACATACAGATTCTCGACGCTCGTCGAAAGGTTTATAACTTACAATACACGAATATATAGCTAGAACACAAGGTCCAAACTATCCAATGTGGTGTAGTGGCTAACATTGCTGTCTTTCATAGGCATCTGGTACAGAGCTTGATTTGCACAGCAGCCCGGGGTTCGATTCCCCGCATTGGAATCATGCTTTGTGCAGTTGTGCTGTATCATTTTTTACTTAATGAATTCAAAAATACCATTGACTGACCTTTTCCTCAAACACATTATCATGACAGAATGCAAGTAATGGAATGGGCAGCAATGTCAGTCACTCCTCAGAGTCTTCACGTGCTGACGTGCTGACTTGAAACTTCAAATTCATCAAAGCTCCTGTGCTTAGAGCACTTGCTACAGGAGCTATGACTATTGGAGCCTAGTAGGCATTTTCAGGTCTTACGGACATGTTCTTTCCACACTATTACTGTAAGGCTGTTTCTTCTGTACTAATTTATACACGATCTCTCATTTGATCAGATAATTAAATGGAGGCTGGATGGTTAATAGGTTTGGAGGACTGCCATCGAAAGGTAAGGCCCTTTTTTGGCAGTCAACTTTCAACTAAAGCTAGGAGATTTCGAGGTCCGAGACGGGTCCGAGCTAGGATGTCAATCCTTACTTCGTGACATTTGGCATTTTTCTGTATAAATGACCCCATCTCACCCTCGCTCACCTTAAGTTTCCTTCCGACACCATGTATCTCTCACTTCAGATTTTTGCCTTGTTGAGCGTCGCGGTTGGGTCGCTTTCTAGTAAGTTCGACGCGTTGACGGTTCGATCAAATATTAACGATGAAAATCCAGGTCCTACAGTCCAACCCTATTCACGTCTTCCCAAATGGTACATCGCTGGAAAGTCTAGCCGTTCGTGCCAATTATCGAGAGTCTATACTCACAGTGTACTAAGGCCCAAGATTACTCAGATACGTGCCAATGGCCAGATCCTCACCACAGTCATCACCGCACCCGAGCTCTACCTCGTCGATCCCACTATTAATTCCTCCGCTACTCTCATCCACACATTCTCTGCCTACGAAGTTCTCACCGGCATTGTCGAAGTCGAGTTTGATCAATTCTATGTCATCGCTGGAAACTATTCTTTCGTCTCGGGGACCACTCCAGGATCCTACTCTATTTTCCATGTCGATATGGTTCTTTATCCCCGACTTGACACGAGTTGAGAAGGTCGCAGACGTTCCTGAAGGCCAGCTCCTAAACGGACTGGGATTGTTATCGAGGGAGGAAGGTTTGATTTACGTCGCGGATAGTTTTGCAGGCGTGATTAGACTTCTCAATGTCTACACCGGGGAAATCCACGTCGCTATCAATGATACTCTGACGCAACCAGCGACCGAGGATGGATTGGCTGTTAATGGCGTCCATGTTTCACCGAGCGGAGAGAAGAAATACGCCTATTTCACCAACACCGATCGCGGAATTCTAGCTCGAGTGCTCATCCATCCCAATGGTAGTGCTATTGGTCAAGCAGAAATCGTGGCGTCTAATCTACCGGTGGATGATTTCACCTTTGATAGAGATGGAAATGTCATCCAGGCTCTCATTGGTGCAAATGAGGTTGTGAAGATTGACGTTGAGACGGGGAATGTTACGCTGCTTGCAGGGAGTCTTAATAGCACAGTGTTGGAGGAGCCTACGATGGCGCAATTTGGAAGGAGGGAGGATGATAGGAAAAGCGTGTACGTTTCGAGGAATGGAGGGTTTGGGAAAGCTACTCAGGTTGGAGGAGCGGTCTTGAGGATTGAGTTGGCAGGAAAAGTACAAGGTTTGAAACGTCGTAGACGGTAGTAGACGTTGATTACTTACATAGAAGGAATGAAATCCAGCTATACCAGCTTCGAAAAAGATGAGCCGACTTTGATAACCTTGGCTTGAACGTAGTTGGAGGTGTAAATACTTAAGGCTAATAAGCCCTCCTACCTTGGCCAGTTGTCTATACATTCTAGCGAGTTCGGCTATCATCTTCCAGCTGGGTGTAGTGACAGAGAAAGAGCTGGAACCATGGTGAACCTCGCTGTAGATGTACTTGAGTTCTGCATCGACACTGAAAGGGTCCATCCAAGGTTTGAAACGTCGTGGAAGACGTTGATTATTCAAATAGAATGAAATCCGGCTATATCCCCAGCTTCGAGCAAGATGAGCGAATTTGATAAGCCCTGGCTTGAACGCAGCTCGAGCGAAAACCGAGCTCTGTTCGTTCTGTGCCAGAATCAAATCATCTAGTACAAGTGATTGAGATCGGGTCACTACTGTAGAAGACCGGCGCAATTTATAAATGAACCCGAGAAGGATCTTGAATTATGGACATAGTTGGAATTTGAAAGAGGGGAGGTTGGAGTAGGGATAGTCGACCTGTCGAAGGCCAGAGGTATTTGTATGCAAAACGAAAAGTGGCGTACGGTGTGCTAGCAGAGGAGATTGTATTCCTGTATCGGAGTATTCTGCAGGTTTTCAATGAAATTGCTTATGCAGATGTAGTCGGAGATAAACGAACCTCGAAACATACAAGACGACAGTCCGACGGCAGTCACTTAAAAGCGGAGTTCTTTTCAGTCATATTTTACCGAGTGCGCAAACAAGTACCTCGACCGCCTACGACATGGTTATTGTGAAAACGCGACCGTCACGTGTCACGTGTATTCCGTATGGTAGCGAAAAAGTACTCGGCTGAACGCAGTTGGAACGAGGTCCAGCATGATAACGATGCCCGAACACGAAGTCCTAGCCAAATCCAGCAGGTCAAAGGATTGTCAAAGGAGATTAAGCAAAATATCACGCTCATGTGAAAGGTCAAAGCGGTTTGATCTTCCTTTTTGGGAACACGTCAAATCCTCATTGGGAACAGGCCAATTGAATCCAACACGATGTTTACGCGTTGCAGCACTGATTTGACCGACCATGGGATCATCACGCTAATTGCTTGTATTCCGATTCGCCTTGAGTCACGATCAAGCAACGAGACGATAACAGCCTTTCACCAAACAACAATAATACATGTGGTGGCAACAGGCTTGAACAAAGGGACTTCCTTACAGGCTATTCCGATTATATTATTCAGCACATGATGCAAGTATAAAGGCCACTCACATTGTGGCGTAACTATCCAACCTCTTTGCTCTTCTCCACCACGAGCCTACCGCTACCTCGAGTAACCCACTATCTGTTAATATCTCTTGTTCGCCAATACAACCATTGTCAGTATGACCATGTCTCACTCCTCCACCCGCTATGGCGCCGACCTAAAGGTATGTGTGGCGTAGTGGCCACAGAGCTCGTGGTAGCTAACCATTGTCATCTAGGAGACTCCAAGATTGTTCATTTGGCGAAAACAAGAGCCAGCTACTACGCCAAGTGTCATGCTTGCTACGAGTGGCGCGTTGCAAATCCCAGGTTCTCCAGTTTCGTCTGGTTCCTCGGTCTCTTACGACTCAGAGCCTTGGACCCAGTCCTCGCCCAATCAAACGAGTTTCAACGACATATATGCCCAGAGAGGCCGCGGGACACGTCCCGCTGGTCTTAATAGTGTGGAAGATGTTGTCCGACATCATACGCCGGTAAGCTTCTCCCACCTGCAACGCATAATATCCACTGATCGTATTTTCAGGACAAAAATACAATCAGTGAATATTGCAAGCTCCAGGCGGAAGCTCAGCACTCCCCTTCGACGCCAGAGCTACACACAAGGGGGACTGACGGTGCGCCCTTCGAATTCTGCCCTTGGGGGCTTCCGGAAGAGTGTCCCGACGAGGAACTCTGGAGTAGCCCCAGAACGTGGGGTGTTCCGGATTCCGAGTTCGACCCGGTAGTACCTCGCAACGAGACTCGATGTTCCCTCTCCAACCTATCCAACGGCCCGCCAAGGTTGTTGCAACCATCGATGAAGATAGAAACATTGAGCAAGATATCATGACTTGGCTAGAGGAAGTTAGCAGAGCGATGATGAGCGATGAGTAGACACCTACCTTCCACGTCGTCGGACCTTTTCGTTTCGCCTCTCCTCGTTACTTTCCGCTGTTTGCATTTGCTTCCCTCATCGGAACAAATTCTTCCTTCCTAGGCTTCTCTTCTCACGTTCTCACTTTTCTCTTCATCGAACAATTTGTTTCCTGTCTCGTTTTCCCTTTTCGTTTGTCGCTGCTTCTGTCTTTTTTTCGTCTGATTAGTCTTCTTCGTCGACCACTGCTCCATTCTTGTTACTGCCGCTCCGCTTGTTCGATCTTTCGTTCTGTAACTGTTTTGTGCACCGACTTCAGAGTCTATACCAGCTGTTGCTTCCGACTAGGACTTGCCTGAATCCGACCTCTTGTCAATGAGAGATGGATTATAATCCTAGTCACCAGTCAAACGAAAAGAGTAGGAATGGTGAGAGAGAAGAGAGAGCAGGCTACGAGCTTAAAAGAGATGGATGAGATGAGATAAACCGTGAGATACTCGAGTCACTTCGAAGTACCGCAATGAATCCATTGTCCTACACATCGCGATCAGATAATCACAATGCAATCGTAACCTGATCTTTCTCGACGCTATTGCTCAAACTTTGACTCATCATAGCTGGAGGCGTCTCATCATGTCGAGGGACTGGGTATTGAATTCTGCCCAGCCTTGGACGTCGTAGCCTTTTTTGTGTTTTCCTCAAGAGAACTTCCAAGAAAGTGTATATAAGTGTTGAATGCTAATACGAACGACAGCAGAGGAAGACCAAAACATCTTACACTTTGCAATTCTGCAACACTTCCTCGACAAAGTCAGCCATAATCCGGTGTGTTTCCTTAGATGGATGCCTAGTACACCTATATTTAATCAGGTGCGTCTTCTAGGAAAGAGGACTCACCCGTCTATCCAATAAAAATAATGCTCAGGGTCCATACACCACCCATACTGATCACAGTCCTCAGTACAGAGTGTACAGGCTGCGGTGCTCGTATATCCAAACGCTTCATACCTATATTAATCAAAAGATCACGATCCAGTTCAATACAAAAGTTCAATACTGCTGCTCACCCAGGATCACTTCCCAACACCCCATCCCAAATTTCTGCCAGATCAACATACGCAACATTGAGTTTTGCTGGACCTTCATGGAAAGCTCTGAGCCCATCAAACACTTGCTGTTTATACGCTTCTCCCC